TAACCCAACATACCCAGAGATTCTATTAGCGCATGATCGAGCGAGTGCGAGCGCGCTTCTCAATATCATACATCAATAAGCAGTTGACCTTTTGTTGTCATGATGTCAATCTGTTGGATGTAAATCACTTCTGATGTGGGGCATAAAGATTAGTATTACTTTACAACTGAACAAATCTTTCACTTTGAGTTTAAGATAAAAACTCAGCGGTGAGTAATAATTTAGTTTCAGCAACTTTTTTAGTTGTTTTTTTTTTATTTTTTTTAAATTGTTCGATAGATTTTTCATTTGCTTCCAAAACATTTCAGTACCGCCCCAATAACTTTATTTTTATTATTTATAACGTGGAAATATTTCTATGTAAATTTCTCTCGCTATTACTTTGTTTCAGAATAATTTATACAAGTAACATCTTATTAACAACCAAATGCGTTTGTAATATTAATGCGAGGCAAACCTCACAAACGAGTAACACATTTTTTCCACCCGTTCGAGTATTATTACGTTGAGCGCTCGGTTTTTATGTGGTGCACGCTTGTTTCGTTGCTTATGCATGCATATTATTATTATGATCAAGATTGCTAATGACGCTTTTTAGCTAATTCGTTCCTTCGACGGCGACTTCCTTCGCACCGCCGCCGCGCGTGAACTTCGTTTGCATTTTTCGCCATCGGTGCGATAAATTCGGAACTGGTGCACACATATACCATGCATTATACAAGAAGCAATTACTTTTTATATATTTTTATGTTTTCCGTTAAATTTTCACATAGAAAACATGATAAATCGAAACTGGTTGATTTTTACACAAAAAGACAGCATGCAACGATATATTAAGCGCCAGTTTCATCTGGTTGCCAGTCTTCTCCTCTTCGACCTCTTCTATTCTAGTCAATGCTGCTTTATTCTGCGCGATTGTGCGGCGTGGGCGACGCGAGTCTTCACTTGCAAGTTTTTAGGTAAGTGCTAGCGCACCACAGACTTGTCTTCCACATCGTCGTGGTGTGTTCCGAGAGACCTATATGAGACGTGCTACATATCAGCAACCGTGCGAATAATAGCCGGACGCCGCGGTAGAAATGATGTGACGGCACGCTCGGAGTAACCTACGACGAAGGCACGACCTGCGAGAGGAGGTACCAGGTGAGCCACCGGAGTACCAACTCGGCGTGCTCGTGGCGTGTAATTGAAAGTGCGGCACAGGGGATACGCGCGATTTGCATGCGGAAACGCAAGAGACGAAGGAGCCGAGATGGATGTGATCGAGCGTCCTGTAGGCGCGCATTTTTTCGCTTATCGTGCAGAGCTAGAAAATAATACAGCAACAGGCCAGCTCTTCGGCGCAGTGAAGTTGCGTAGGTGGTGTGGGTGATTGTGTCTATTTTATAATAGTTTAAACGTCACGGTGAAAATTATTTCTAATTCAGTTCGGAAAAATTATAAGTGCATTCAATGGCATGAATTTGATAAGTCACAAAGTTTAGAAGTATTTTTGCTTCGGAGAAATGTCTCGATTTCGATTTGATCCCAAAATGTTATGCGCTTCAACTGTCTAAGTCGTGTTGCCTGCGTGTTCCCAATTTTTTCCACTTTGCCAACCATTTCTGCGTTTCTTCGCGTTCGAGTGTACTTTCCGTGCGATATAAGTACACGCGTCGCACTTCGAATGTTGGATGTTGGATGTCGGGTTCGTAGGTGAAGAGTACAGAACCAAGAACTAGGCGAGTCGGTCGTGAATTACATTTTGCGTTCTCTCGACGCGGCTAAGCCGCGCTAAGAGGATGTGTGCGCATTGCGAGTCTGAATTGTTTTACACCCCCACAGAAAACTCGACATTTCTGTTTTTGCGCACACGAAAAAATGACTCGAAGAATCATTCAGCAGAAGAACCAACCGTATTAAATTTAAGTCTACTACTTTAAGTTTAAATACATAATAAAATTTGGATTTTTTTTTGTGTATTTTTATGACAGTTGAAGAAATGAAAGTGAAGTTTAAAATGACCCAATTCCACACGGGAAAATGAAACGTCCATAATTAATAATTTTTCGGTCATAAACGTGTGCCTGCACTAATTTTTCGCACTTCCATTCCGCGCAGCTAATTTCGCCCGACTGGCAGCGGTGGAAAAATGCAGCGACATGCAGCTGAAAACGAAATTGCGTTTTCTCCTCTCATGACGATGTTATGACATTGCCGCAGCGGCCGATGCCGATGGTATAATATGACGGATTGCACTCACTTATGTGGGTGTTCCTGCGCACACATGCGGCTCACGCGAGCCATCCGGTCATTTATATTAAACCCACATAAATCACGCTCGACTAAATCCGCGCTAAACGCCGCGTCGCGCCGCGCACGCACGCACTTTAATTAAAACAATATTACACTCGGCCTTTTGTTCACTCGGCTGCGCTGTGATCCTTTCTGGATTGTGCACACTGCCAATTTAACGATGTAATGCTCGACGAAAGCATCGAAAATGAAGAAGAAGGCACGAAGATAAAAAGAATCAGCGTTCCGGAGCTTCTAGTGTCAAATTGGTTTAATTACTGTAATTAAGTACGCTTTGTACAGATAATATGCGCGAATACTGTGGTTGCTACGGTGCATCCTGTGTGAATGTTTATTGCAAACCTTAAAATCTAAAACAAAAAGTTTTCTAATATTATTCCAAAATCTCAGAGATTAAACTATAAAATTTGTTGTAAAATTTCATATTTCATATGCGTTGCCAATATACATCATCGAATGATGTGTGCGCGAAACCCACGTGAAGAAAAACAATTTGCATATCAAAGCCGATGCGGAATATATCTAAATCTAGGTGCACCGGTGTATTTGCACGCCGCGTGCGTTATGCGCCAACTCGATAGAATGATAATAGAAAACGAAACGGCACAAGGGCACATGTTACACACGGCGAACACGCTGCTAATCTCTTGTGCCATTTATTGTCGATCAAAGATGGCGAGCGCGCAACCAATGCGCGTCCAGTTTGCATAATAAACCTATTAATATCGAGGAACTTGATTTCAAACATTTTTCAAGCATCACTATATTGCATCGCAAAGGTGATCAATAGAGAATGGCACTTTTTTCCAACGTATTTGCTATTTATACAAACATTTTATTGAGAATCAATCGATTAAAGTCTCGTTCCTTCGCGGAGTTGAGCAATTTTCTCATTAACATTAGCGGCAACTTGTTCGCTCGCTGTGGGATTAAACAATAAACGTTATTTATATTAATCGCCTTGCATCAACTTCAAATATATCAAATTTTATACAAGGCCTTCCAAATTCTTACAATTCGCTATTTATTTAAGATTTCTTTTGCAAATCAATTAAAAACTTCAAAAAATAATTTAAAAGTAAACATACTTACATTTTATCATTAAAATCTTCATTTTTATGAAGATAAAAATATTTAATGTTTTTATTTGTAACCTCCTGTAATTCTATTGATGTTATTCAATAGATATCAAAAGACATGGTTATTAGAGAGATACAATGCAAGATATTCCGCCGCAATGTTTGACGCACGAGCGCGAGTGTGCAAATACTAAAGAATATTATATGAATTATGAATATTAATAAGGTGGGCACAGTGCGACACTGCAAACCTGCGTTATTTATCGCTTTCAGCCGGTGTTTCGCTGTTATGCAGCGCATAATCGAATCGATACGCGAATCGATTGTTCTGACTTTACGCTTACATCACGATGGATGTGACGACCGTGCAGGGACATTGTCGCTGTCAGGATTAAATCCAGAACAAGTCAAACAAGTTCTTACCATATCAATTATATTGTGGAAGTTATGACATGGCGTTATGACCTAATTTATATCTTTAAAAATAGCTTGCCTTTGAAGTTGTTTGTTGATTTTTACCAGGAGAGACTTTTAATTTGAGTATTTGCCATCACGAGGGATTTATTCGCAATTGTTTGCGACGGTTTGTTGTTTGGTGTTTTTCTCGGATTGAATAATGGGCCGACGGAGGCCTGTGTGGGCCATTAGCATAGGGCGTGCGGCCGCGACCTACCCCACGGCCCACGTGTGAGCGATCGACAACGCCGATACGTATCCGCCTGCCCACACCTACACCCGCATCGGCACAATGGACCGCATGAAGATGGCATGAGGCGGCCACCGCGGGACGCGCGAAACGCGCACGCCACGCACGAGGAGATGCGAGCGAAGATGCGCGTCCTGAATCGCTCGCGGTGCACCGGCCGACACGACAATGCGCCACGCGAAGAAAGAGGAATTCTTCAAGCGTGCGCGCAAAAAATACACAAAACACACCTTGGATTCATTGCTAACATTGCCACTATCGCCAGTAAACCACCAACGTGTCAAGATTTTCTTCTTGTATCTACTAAAACTACAAAACAAACAATAAAAAAAACTTGTTTGTTTATACGACTACAGTGACACGTTGTGTTGAGAATTAATTAGTAATCAGTAATCACATACCTTAATTAGTTAATTGGTTGTAGACTTATTACCATCCTGGTGCGTTTTCGGTGGAAAATAGCGGCTTTGGTGGAAAATCGGCTTCAGTTCGCAGACGAGTTCGGTGCACGTTTGATTATCACTGCACGCCGCGATGCAAAACGAATAAACAAAGTTAAAGATTGGTGGAGCCATCCAGCGGCGGAAAATAGACTGCAAGTTTCATGTCCTCAGTTTACTGCAATAGATTCTCCACACACCACCGGATATCCTGAATATTCCAAAGGAAAACTTGATATTATCCTTATTTTGATATTGCTAGCGTCATCTATATGGGAAACAGAAAGGAAAACATTTAATATTATCTTTAATTCAATATTGCTAACGACACCTATATGAGAAATACGTAACTAAACATAATCAGCAGATAGCAGCAGGTATAGCATAACTATATGTTGAATACGTTTTAGATCCAGTCTTATTAGCTAAAAACTGCGGTATTTATTGAAAATATAATTCAAAATTATTTAGTGCTGCTCATTTTTTGGCAATTTCAAACTTTTAATACTAATTTTATTCATTGCACAAAAAAGATTTTCAAATATTTTAATAATGTGCATGTAAAAAACTCTGGACGGATGTACTATTAATAAAACTTATATTAAAAATTAAATAAATTAAAATTTCTTCAGGATGTTCATCATTTGTTGCAAGTCAATAAAGTCTCAAATAAATCATCCATGGTCCATGGTTCATCCAAATCCTTGATATCATCCTCTGGATATAACTGAGTTGTCAAGAAGGACAAATTAATATTCCCAATATTAGCAATCTTCTTCTGCAAGTTGCTAACCTCTGAGCCCAGTTCCTTATAAGTTGCTTTATTTACAGAAATGCTAAAAAGCAACAATTACTAATCCTTAGAACAAAATTGCTTTAATTTTACCTAGGCTTCTTTGATGTGTCATGAAGAGACAACATTTCTTCTTGCATATCATCAATATCTGGAATGATGGGAATATCATCATCAGAGTCATCTCTTCGACTCACTTGCCCTTCAAATCTCTCCTGTTCAATTAAATTTATTGACGACTTCCTGGCAGATTTAGAACCCTCATCAGCCCAACGACCTGTTTTATGTGCCTTAAGAAGAGTAGGACCTGGACTACCAGGGTCACTGTCTAATGATAAGTCTTGAGTTTCTGGACGGTCTGGACTTTGTGTCATGCCGGCACGACGTCCTTGCTTTGCAGCAGACTGGATAATTTCAAATTCAGAGTCAGACATGAACAATGTGTAAGATTGAAATAATACCTTTTTCTGAGCTAGCGTATCAATATCATCGTCCCAGTTCATAATTTATAGAATTAATAATGCAATAATCGGCAATGACTTCTCTATTCGTTTGTTTGTTTGTAGTGAACACAACGAATTTAAAATCGATTTCCCAACCTAAAAGCACATCTGTTTTCAAAATATAACCCTGCTTTCTTCATCCCTAAAAACGTAATTATAATACATATTATTATACATTATTTACTGCTTCTGTGAGTAGTTCTTTTTGATTTTCTTCGCTTTCGATTCTATTCATAGAAATAAAGCAATACTAATGGGCAATTGGCAGTTGGAAGTCTTTAAAATGACGCTCTACATGAGTTTTCCGTAGCAATGTTCCACTATTTCAATCAACCCGAATATTATGAAGATTATGTGACTAAATTGAAGCAGACTGTCTTCCCGCCCGTAAACAAACAGCGTGATGATGAACTAAAGGATGCCATCAAAAAGATTCAACAGAGTCAAGACCTTCGTATTCTCCAAGCAATGGAGCAAGGTTCCAAACAGTAAATTGTAAATCAGTCACACATTATTTAATAGATGCAATAAATTTACCACTTATTGTTATTTCTTGTATTTAATAAATGCTTTTTGTAGATTAAATGACAATGCTTAGGACTAGTTAAAGAGTAAAATGTTAATTGAGTGATGGACAAATAATTAAAGTTTATTATAAAGTTATTGCTGTACTGGTAAGTTTCTGGTGAATACTTACTGTGATGTACTCAATGTCAAATTGACAAGTTTCATTTTCATAAATTTCATTAATTCTTCTAAATAATAGTGTTTATGTTTCATTTAAATTAACATTTGTTCAACATTTGTGTTGAAATTGCATGATTCACTTGATTGATTTTGTTCATTCAAGTCAGTCAAGTGCAACCAGAAAGAACAAACAAATTTGGTCTCAAGAACATTTAAACCTGGGCAAAATTACTTCATTTACAAAGTCTTCACTCATTAGAGCTGTTTAAATCTATAATGGACAGCAAAAGTCTCAACCAACTTTACATAATTTCATTTTTGGTAAGTTTTATCAGAAAAGTGATTTTCTTTAGATTACATGTTTGATTTATTTGCAGGATTCATTTTGCACTGGATTGACACTTCCAGTTCTAAATAATTACATTGTGGTAGGTTTAAAAGGTTCACACTTCCTTCTGGGCTTATTGAGCATGGTTCAAGTCTTAAGTCAAATTATAATAAGCCCGTTATTGGTAAGTTTAATGACATAAACATTAAAATTATGTATGGAATGTGCATTTTCTTTGTTTTCAGAGCCCAGTGACAATGTTTGTTGGGGCACGTAATTTACTACTGTTCAGCCATGTGATGACATTTTTCAACTATTTAATTGTTATCATTGCTAATGACTATCGCTTGTTTTGCTGTTCCGGATGCCTTTCTGTAAGTATTTGGAGATTTTACTTCATTCCTAAGAAGTACAGAGCAACAGGTCAAGTATTAAATTATAATTTCAGTTTTCTTCAACCAAACTCAGTATTCCACTGACGTGTTAATCGCAAAAACTCAGCAGACCACAGGAGATCATTATGTACGACAATTGAAAAATGTGGCTTTTATACTGGGCCCTTTCTGTGGCGGATTGCTGTATCACGATACCAGTATTCTATGTGTCGCTTCTATGATCAATATTTTAACAACTTTAAGTCTTGGTAAGACGGTTTTTAACATTTTTACAAGACTTAATCTAAAGTATTTCTTTCACATAGTATTGGCTTATAAATTACCTCAAGACAATATTACAACAAACATTCAATTGCCCTCACCGCCAATGTCAAAACTATGGCAAAGCAGTTGGCGCGAGTGCTGGAAGAGTAAATCCCTGCTCTCAATGGTGAAAATACTCACAACAATTGGACTTTCATGCTTTTTTATCAAATTTACTCTGGTAATGACCGCAAATCTCAATGCATCAGCGAGTTTGATTGGATTTACAATAGCAATGCACAATTTAATCTTTCACTCCGCTAAATTCGCATGCCAACTTCTAAATAACTCTGTTCTGAGTATTCAGAAGCATATCCGACAATTATTATTAACTTGTCTTCTGGTTATGACGATCGCGATGTACATTTTGTGCCGGTCACATGACTATGGCGAATATTTATTGGCATTCGTGGGGCTAGCAATGTCAAGAGAGATGTTTGAACGCCTCTGGGGAATAGAGGCAGATTCGATGACGAAAAACTCTATGGAATGTTTACAGAAACTTATCACTTGTGTTCTTCCCGTGGTGCTGGGCGCTTATTGTGATCTTTATTCACATCGAGCCGTTCAGACGTTGGCTGTGGTTCCTTTAATATTCGCTACACTTTTGGGATTTAAACAATTGGCATGGCAACCGGAAAATTCAAAATGAAAGTAGTAGAACAACAAATTATGAAATCATTCAATCTTGCTATAAGTGCAAATAATAAAAGCATAATTAGTCATTCTTAAAGCAAGAAGACAAAATATATACCCTCATGTACATTAAATTTATATTTAGTGGAACTTTGTTTCACGAAACATGCTAATCCGTCTTGTCCCCATCACCATGATATTTGGCTTCAAGTTTATCAATTGCATACAAATGATAAGCAACACCTGTCCCGAGCAGTGAGAATAACGCCGCGTATAGCATTACACCACCTGTCGACGATTTATCTGCGAGAATTCCGGCCGTCATCGGCGCCAGGAAGCGTCCTAACGACATCATACTATCCGATGCACCAGTTAAACTTCCGCGTTCGTGGTCCTTACACTTTGCGACAACCAACTCCATTGTTACAATCCTAAGCACCGCATTGCACACCCCGAATGGGACGAGCAACAGTGCAAAGACGAAGATATTGCGAACGCTTAAAAACCCGATGAAACAAATCGTCAGCAAGAGAAACATGTGATATGTCCGGAGGGTGGCGGTTTCATTCACTCCGTAAAAAAGTATTGTGAAACGTGACATGCAGAAGCCACAGATTACACCGACTAGCGAAACGAGCGATATCACATAGCCGACTTCAAGTTTACCAGCGTCGAACATTTCACTTAAGTAAAATGGTTGTGTTGAGAAGAACATTGTCGTCACAAAAATATAAAAGAATTTTAGAAGAAATGCACCCCAGTGGTTTGTCCAGTTCACAGCCCTTAGGTCCTGGACGACTATTTTCAGTTCATTTCTCGCAGTGCGATTTTGACGGGAACACGTCGGTTTGAGATTCGGTAAGCAATAAGCTAAAACTAATTTTAAACAATTTGCAGTCAAGTTCTGTTAACATAATTGAACTTACTTGTATTTACTACAAAGAGAAAAGCGGTTAATGAGCAAATATATTGCAATGCATTATCAAACTCGCTCAGATGACCGCTTACCATTGGACCAAAAACAAATCCAATCGAAGCGAAAGATGTACACCGACCATAAACGGCCATATTCAATTGTTTGTCGTTTCCGGTTAGGTCTGTGATGATTGCTTTATTCAGGGTTTGCGTATGTTTAAAAATACCTTTAAATAAGCAAAATTAACCATACTGATAGTTGATATGCTATGAAATGATAGTTTCAGCAAACTTTTTAAACTGTACCTAATAAAAGTCTGAGGATAAGAAGACTTATAAGAGTCGTGCAAAATCCCATCAGGAAATAGAGAACGGTGCTTATCATCAATGTGACGAATAATATAGATTTACGACCTCTGATATCACTCCAACTTCCCTTGAGAGATCATAGAAATGAGTAAATTTGATATTCAAGATTTTTAAGCAATCCCTTACAATGATAGGTCCAGAAATAACTTGTAGAGCAGCATATGCTGAGCCAAAAATTCCTACTTGTGTGTCTGTACATCCTAAGGACTTCACATAGGGCCCCAAGAATGGGAATATAACGCCCACCGCAAATAAATCCTGCAAAAGAAAAGAAATTAGGCAATAACTTTTAAATTTCGAAATTGGTGCGCAGCGCGTGACCTTCGACGTCAAAATGGCTGCGATATTTACTTACTATGAATGACATTGCATAAATCATCCTTAATGCACTGTTATTAATCTGCACACGCCGTGTGCCTTCCATTTCGGACATTATTCAGAAGATTTACTTGATTTACTCATGAATTTGCTTTAAAACACTAGCATTGTCTTCTTCACCATAACCTTGCATCGTTTTTTATTGTCGTTATCACTGGCACCTAAACAATTTAGAATTGGAACACGTTTTAATTACCTACAAGTTAATGATTATGAGCTGGACTTATATTGAATTTTCAACGTACACTTCACGAACGATGTGTTTAAATTGAAGTCTGACAGTTAATTTCCAGCAAACATTTGTTTTGACACAGTTTGTTTATTAAATCTACTAGACTTGAAAATGAGTCAGTATAAAATCTTCATTTTGCAATATTTATCAAAAAAGTATTACCAATAGTATTAAAACATGTAGCAAATTAAACTTTAAACTTAGTTTGTTCTGCTTTAACTAGCAGTTGATCAGTCTTGAGATTGCAAAGTTCAATATCCAGAAAAGCAAAGGACTTGCCAGCTTTAATCAACTCATCATCATGTACCTATAATAATTAGATTTATATTCAGTATATCAATGATGCACAGCTCATTTAAATATTAGTACTCACAGTATATTAAGATTAACAGAAACACTTATATTTGGCCAATCTTTGTGTGTTAACAGCCCACTATGAGAAATTGAATCAATAATCTAGCTGAAAACCCTCCGTGTAATGCTCCTAGTGGATTGACATCATCTTTTGTTACTTTAACAGTGGCAACACAACTACCTTGATCAGCTTGCAATATATTAACCTTGAAACAAATTATTACTACTGTGTTATTAAAAAAGCAATCATCTTAGTTTTGCAAGTTTGTACTTACATTTCGTAAGACTTTATCAAATCCATTTCTAACCGGAGCTGATTTCAAGTATTGATTCAACCATTGTGCTTTAGGCATTTTGGATCAGTAGCTGGAATACTTAAGTAGTTGACTTTAAGGCATTAAGTGGTGCTGTGCAGTAAGCACAGGCTGTATTAACTCTATTCTTCTGATATTAGTTAACTGTTGGTTGGATTTTAATTATAACAAGTCCAAAGTTTACCATTTTATCTATTACTTGTTCATACTAATTCATTTAAACATGAAGCCACAAAAATGGTAATTAGTATTTGTGTTTTATAAATAATATCCGCATAAGCTATTGTATTTATTTTAAAAATGCGTTTTTATAAATATTTACATTCTTATGAAATAAATTTAAGAGGAAGAACTTCGTAATTTCACATGCTCGCCCTTCACCAGTAATTCTTTTTCTGCATTTCGTATCTCCACGTCTACAAACGCCATATTTTTCCCAACTTTTAGAACCTTAGACTCTATAGTGATCTCCTCACCATATTGTGCGTTTCGCAGATACCTGTACACAAAACAACAGCAAATATTTTCAGCAGCACTGCAGCTTTAATTTGCACTTACGATAAATTCAGCCTAATAGTTGGACTAGGTTCTCGCCATTTACTATGTGATAATAAACCAGTACTAGATATATTATCGATCAAAGTTGCGGCCAATCCACCGTGCATGCCACCCATGGGATTTAGATCATCTTCTTGCAGGGTCAACTTTGCAAAGCAGTTGCCACTATTCACTTTTATTACTTTCACCTTGAAAAGAAATGAAGGCTTTCATTTATCTTCTTTCTGGCGATTCTTCGTAGATGTAAATTGTTTAACGTTACTCACGTGGCTAACAGTTCGGCAAAAACCACTGACCCCACTCATTCTCCTGATTGTTTGATATAAAACTTGCATTTTTGGCATGGTGATTACACGTGGCAAAAACATTCATGCGAATGATACTAGCAAGTATACTAATGACTTCCCACCTATTCCATACCTTTGCCAATACATTAAACCATTTACTACGAAATATTTTGCGATAAGTTTTTATTTTCCGAGTAGTTAACATACCTTTCTATATGTTTATCTTTAACATATGGAAACTACTTTTTGCGAACATTATAATTTGAATTTTGAGTGATTTTTGGTTGCTGATAAAAGTTACGAATTATAGAAGGCCCACAATACATATTTAAATCTATAGGTTTATTTGCATTAATAATTTCAAATCTTTTTCAATGAGTTCTTGACATTCAGCAAACTAAAAATGAATGAATGAACAATGTATTTTTCAAAAAAAGTTGATAAGTACATTATTGGAACACAAACAAACTTAACTTTTATTAATACTTAAAGCTGGCAACAATTGTACTAGCAATTTCAAAACTTGCACTATGTTAAGCACCCATTTTAAATTTTGTATGTTCAGCCTTCACTAGCAGTTGATCAGCTGCATTACGCAGTTCAACATCCAAATAAGCCATAGTTTTTCCAGCTCTTAAGACATTCGAAATAATCGTAATTTCTTCACCAACTTTTGCACCTTTCAGATAACTGAAAACTCATCATTAAGACAACTATAGACATGAAAATTGTATGTCTTACGTAAGATTTATGTTAACAGATACACTTGGTGTGGCCCATGGTTCATGAGTCATCAAACCAAAACTAGAGATTGAATCGACTAAAGTTGCAGAGAAACCACCATGCAGACCACCCATGGGATTCAGATTATCCTCTTGTATTTTGACCGTCGCAACGCAATTTCCTTTATCTCCTTTTAAGAATTTAACCTAAGGTTATGTAATATATTAGACAAATTTCAAGATTTAAGGAAATTCTAGTCTTCAACATGTACGTACTTGATTAATATTCAGATTTACTCACATTTTTTACTACTTTATCGAATCCTTTCAAGGTTTTTATAAATTGGTTCAGTAGATCTGCTTTTGGCATGATGAAATTTGTGGAATATAAAATTAAGTCTGCTTGGTTGGAAACTTTGACTAATTATGAATTAGGTGTACCTAGACTCAGATTATAAATTCACGACTGATTTTATGACATAAACTGTTTTGTGGACTTCGTACTTTTGAGAAATGTTAGCAATGAAGTGATTGTATGTGTAGATATTAAATAATGACTAGACATAAAATGTTGAACTATTTGCTCATAAATATTGCATTAAATCATTTAATTATCAGTAAAGTCGCTTCCAGAATTCTAGATTAGTAATTACAATTACTGCTTGTTCAATATGATTTTTCCGATAATAGAAACCTTGTGTGCAAAGCTTGAGCCAGCAGATCTCCAGTTTGTTTGTTTTTAACCTCCACCCTAAGATATGCCAAGTTTTTACCAGCTCTCATTGTTTTAGCATCAATTAAAATTTCATCACCAAGGTTTGCAGCTTTCATGTAGCTGCATACATTTAATTAATTAATTGTTAATCTTTAATTGCTTACAGTAAGAACTTACGTCATGTGCATATCAAGAGATACACTAGGTGTAATTTCGTCCTGATCACAATACAGTGCATAAGTTGAAGTAGCATCAACCAAAGTTGCCGTAAATCCACCATGTAATGAACCAAGAACGTTGGTTGCATTTTGTTCCACTTTGTACTCAGCTAAACATGTCCCATTGCCAGCAGATATGATTTTAATCTACAATATGTTTGTTTTTAATAATATTAAGCTTTTATATATCTATCAATCATACATTTTTAAGTATTGACTCAAAACCAGAACAATTTTTGAGGTAGTTGCGAATAGCGGATACTGCTTTCGTTGTAGCAGCCATTTTGATCTTGTTATCCTTTAAGCTTGTTGTAATTTAAACAGCTTATTTATCCCGGTCTGATCATACTCAGTTGACGACGCACTTTAATAAGCAGTGTAGGAATGATTGTGAATAAAATGCCCCTATGAATATTTATAATGAGCTGAAAATATTTGTGGAAATTATAGGTAATGAGCAAACACAAAATTTTCAACTATTCACTGATAAATGTAGCATAATACGTTTCTAATCAGCAAAGTCAGTTAAGCAATGTAACAATTATAATCAATGTTTATTGAACATATGAATATAAAGTAAGTTGGCTACACTTGTAGCATATATAAAAGCATAATTAATAAAACAAATGTGTTACTTTTTCCCAGATAAAATAAACTTTGTATGCAATCCTTGGACTAGCAGATCTCCAGTCTCTTTATTTTTAATCTCTACCTTAAGATATGCCAGGTTTTTACCAGCTTTCATTGTTTTTGCATCAATCACAATTTCTTCACCAAGTTTTGCTGCTTTCATGTAACTGCACAGAGTTAATCAATCAAATGGAAATTCATTGTTACTATTTAGAGCTATTGAAGCAAAACACTTACGTCATGTGCATATCCACAGATACACTTGGGGTAATTTTGTCCTCATCACTGTGTAGGGCATAGCCTGAGACAGCATCAACCAAAGTTGCAGTGAAGCCTCCATGTAATGCACCTACAATATTGGTGGCACTTTGCTCCACTTTGTATTCAGCAACACATGCCCCATTGCCAGCAGATATGATTTTAATCTGTAATTTCCACACTTTAATATGATCAGTCTTTATATTGCTATGAAAATATTACATTTTTGAGTATTGATTCAAAGCCAGGGCAATTCTTGATGTAGTTGACAATATTAGGTACTCTTGACGCTGCCCCAGACATTTTTATCTAGTTATCTTCTATCCTTTTTACAATGTTTACTGTGGAATGCTCGAATCAAGACTGCTTAAAGCAATTATAGCACTTTTTACTTGCGGATTTATTTATACGCTTTTGAGCGCTTATGAGGTTATACCGGCCTGGACTTTAATCAGTTAGTAATGCAATTTAGCAGATAGTCGAAAAACCAGTTATAAAAAAGAAATTAGACTTTATTTAACAACTCAAAACTCCCAATAGTCATTGTCCACTAAATGAATTCAAAAATCAATGTTTCCTCTTTGTAATGTCAGTAATATTCATTACTTCTATCAGACATAGTATGCATTCATTAATATTGAATATTAGTAATATTTTGACAACTGTTAATTAACAATTATAACATTTTATATGCTCATAAACAAGTTATGTCACTGAGCTTTTAATTCAAAAAAAAAAACCTTTTCCACTGAATTATTTTTTGCAAGTCTGTGATATCTCCGACATTTAACCTTGGACTCTCGTAAATATTTGAACAATATTCAAGGAACGCCCACAAAATGCATATGAAATTATTCAGGAAGGTAATATCATTACTAGCTCTTAAAAATTTAATAATAACACATTCCTCCAACATTGCAGTTGTTGTTCCAACTTCCGCATGTTAGCCACTTCAATAGAACTTACATTCTTAACCAAAATTTAAAGCAAAAGTGCACAATGAAGTACCTCAGACAAGATGAAGCCATTAATGTAGACTTGGAACTCTTCAATGAGTACAAATTCAGTGTAGATCAATTAATGGAACTGGCTGGTTTGAGTTGTGCTACAGCAATTGCCAAATCATACTCAATTGAATCTCTAAATGACAAGAAAATCATGGTTTGTTGTGGACCAGGAAATAATGGAGGTGATGGGCTTGTTGCAGCAAGACATTTGAAACTGTTTGGTTATCCTACTGCTGTTTATTATCCAAAGAAGACAGACAAGGAACTGTATAATAATCTAGTGACTCAATGTTGCAATATGGGTATTGATGTCTTGCCAGATACACCTATTGATAGAGAATATGGTTTATTTGTGGATGCCTTGTTTGGATTCAGTTTTAAACCACCAGTTAGGCCACAATTTCATGCTGTAATGCAAGTTTTGAAGAATACCAAAGTTCCTATTGCAAGGTGATATAGTATTATTCCTTTAATTATATTAACTAATTTTTATTGGTATATTTTAGCATTGATATTCCTAGTGGCTGGGATGTAGAAAGTGGTGAACCTTCTGAAGGAGGAATAAAACCTGAACTTTTGATTTCCCTGACTGCACCCAAAGCATGTGCCAAGTATTTTAAAGGAAAATATCATTATTTAGGGGGAAGGTTTGTACCACCTGCTTTAGCACGCAAGTACGGATTAAATTTGCCAGAATATCCTGGTACAGACTGTGTTTTACTGTTGGACGACGAAGGATAATAAAGCAGGTTTGCATGTTGGGTTGCCTATGTTGAAACATGTTTTCAACCATTTTAGAGTAAAGATTGATTCAAAATAAACAATTTACACATGGTTTTTAAATCACATTATATTTTACCTTCATTTAATTACATTGTTTGTTTTCTTTGTTACTTGATATACAAAATATATACAATTTTTTTTCGTATTAGAACTAATTAGCTAAGCGCCAGATTTTGTACAAAGTGTACTGTATCAAATTCGCCACCGGGAGTAATATAATCGTCACTATTAAGGACACTATCACAAAAATCACAAATAATTCACCAATAAATATAAACGTTTTGCAGACTTTTTCTCCTATGTTCTTGCACTCGTCAATCTCCAGTATTTTGTCCAGAATAAAACGAACAAGATTGAGTAATCCTTCGAGGAGAGGCAAAAGACCCATAATCATTGTAATGATGCACAGGCAGGAATTATAAGAGTGATTGAAGAGTGCTGACATTAAGTCAACGAATGTAAAGCGCCTGAAATGTTAAGTTTATATCTCGTTTTCTTTAAATTGACGTTTCGACTTACTGGTGTCTGGAAATACCACGTTTTTCTTGAATATCAGCAATGGGATCACGAATGGTATTGATACCCATTATACACCAATCGTGCATACTTTTAGGTGTATGGGTTTTGGAAGTTTTCTTAGAAAAGGAAGTTGAATCTCCAATGCGTTCGGTTTCTTGTTCAAATTTCTTTAAGCTGTAATTTTTACAGAGAATCATGTTTGGCACGTTGTCTTGTGTAAAGTTAATCATTTTTACCTAATTTTCGGAATGCGGCGAGGAGAATCCACATTTTCTGGCATTGCCATTTTTCATTCTATGCTTCTACTAATTATTATATTAAATAGTTTTAACTTTTAGATTCAAATGAAAATAATTGTATATGTTTAATATATTGTCACCAAATGAAGGCTGTTCACGCGAAAATTTAAATATATTGTTTGACGTGAAATTGGCAGCCTTTAGGTGATATGGTATTGCTTGATCAAAATTTTGTTATGTTATTTCGGATATTTCCATAGAATTGATATGAACTACTAATATAAATTACGACATTTGAGGACAGCATAAGTATTCTTTGCGCACAACCTAAAAGAGAGGAGATCCTAATGAATTGCGACTGAACTGGACGATTCAGGCACGACTCAGCGCGGCCCGCATTTCGCGCTTGTCTTTTATACCTGTGCCAGACCCGCAAAAAGTAGTGGGGGTACAGTGCGCCAGCAGGACTTAGGTAGGGGGTTGCCCTCGATTTTAACAGCTACAGCTACCTGGTACCAGGACCAGAGATAGAGAAGGAGGCAGTTTGAGTTCCTTGGTTCGCAATCCGAACGAGTAGGCGTCATTGATGGAGGGTTGTGGCTTGTCCTCTCTCGCCCTCTTACCCTCTTTGATCCAGCTTACTTGAATAGCTAAATTTTTGTATTCGCCACGCATATAAAATACACTCGTAAAGCAAAGACTTCCGCCTGCAGGATGGAAAAATAAGCGTGAAAAGCAACATTTCCCTCATAAAAGGCAACTTTAATTAACCGCGTACGCCGTGTACGCATCGCTTCCCCCTTTATGTCTTTGCACATGTTGCCCTCCGGCCTGCTACCCTTGATAACACATTCTCACATATAATAAAACATCAAATCAAATAACATATCAACCCTTAGTGTTTATAATCTAATAAAAACGTTGGAAGTTTTACTGTAGCAATAAAACTTTGCAGATAAATATTGCACATAAAGCAGTACTATCAGAGAGGGCAGTACACGCTTATCAAAAATTGATAAAATCTTTGTTTGTACAATTGCATTGTTCTACAAAATACGAAATCGTAAAATCATTCAATGTTAGGTGTTGCATAGAAGCATTGTTTTTATCTTTAGTTCTGTGAGAAAATGATAATGTTTTAATACCTAGTTTAACACCAAACGTAAAACCGGTAAAGCGGAAAACGTAAGCATTGCATTTTACGTTTAGATGTTTAGGCGTTTAGACTAATCGCGGTCATAATGTTAACGTTACGTTAACTCGTTGAGAACACTTCTGCCAAGAATAACACTAACCGTCGACGGCGAAAGGTGGAATTTATGGACGAACCAATTAACTTGTTTATTAGTTAATTTCTCAGCTAGCAATTGGGGTTAGATTACATTAATGGTGGGTGAGCAGGAATCATTTGCATGGAAAATTTCAACTTTATGATTGCCTTTCAAAAACAAGTATAGTGGAAAGTTGGAACCCTTACAAAATTAAACATAAACAATTTTATTAATTAAACCTAAACACATGTTGTATTTTACTAACATTTTTAGCAAATGTCAATACAATCTGTGGTCGTCAGTTGGTTCCGACTTGAAAACAAAATCTGTCAATAAAATAGCACCGGCTGGGATTTTTTCTATTTCTTTCATTTCCTTTGTCGGGTTTTCTTGACATCAGGTCTCAAACGGGCGCGTTATTAACCGTCAACGTAACGTGTTACAACAAGACAGTGTGTTGCCTTCCATAAACTACAGAAATCGCCTAACTTGGTTAAATTAAGAAAATTCTGAGTAAAAACAAAACGAAAAAGAGAAAGATATAAAGTAAATATGGTAAATATTGAAACACAAAATGAAAATTAGTGTAACGGTGCAACAAACTGAAATAAAACTGAGTTTTCTTTTACTTTTTTCTACTGAAACTTTTTCCAATATTAGTTTTACTCGTACTTTTGCCGGGTGTTTAAACTCTTCTTCCTGTGTTTGTTGCCGGAAAGTTTGTTGCGGCTGATTGAAAGAGTTACTGCAGCTGTAATGGTTGCCTTTTGTGACGTGTTTCCACTAATTGGCAGCATTGCTGCTACTCCAAGCGGAAGATAAGATAAGATAAGAATGATTTAAAAAAACCAGCTGGCACTCTGAATTAGCGAAATCAACTGAATGCACAATATGAAACAAACAAACCAAACAAAACTAACGAAATCAACTGGAAATGTTACATTAATTGTTAGGAATGCAATGATTACCTTGTCAAAATTGCATTTTTTTGTATTTTGCGTATTGATTATTAAATTTTTGTTTTTATGCAATTTGAATTTTAATTGTTATCAATTTATAAATATTTACTTGTTATATTTACATACAATTGATTATTTGAATTCTTCAATGCGAATTCTTCATATATAATGCAATATTTTGCCTGAAAAGCAGCGTCTCGTTATTTTCTGCATTTTCGTGCACATTCGCAAACGAATTGGAGTAAATATCGAACAAACGACAGACGATAAACGATGATATATCGTCCAAGACTTATGGACGCGCGCACAAAGTTTAACAACATGGAAATAGGGGCCATCGACAAAGGACGCGATACGCTGTAATAAATTGAACGCGAATATATCGAAAAATACTTCAAAAACTACACAAAACTAATATTGCCTTCTAGAACGAGAATTTACAAAACTGCGTTATTTTCGAACAAACTGCATTCTAGTAAAGAATAAATACATATCATTGGTTTAATTTATCAGAGTTAGATTTATTTATAATGCAAAACGATAATGTGGTGGCGGTGTGGAAGAATTAGGACATATTGCAGTGTCCTAGCACCATTTGATGCGGAACGAAGGTTGCGATTGTTGCGATAATAATGGCGTCCGTCGCATTATCCGCGACGGCCGGCTGATACCCTCTTCAAGTGTTGACACTCTGTTGACAATGGGCATTAGTGGTGCTTGCAGATTGGACCCTGCTGTTGATTTGAATGCGCTGCTGGGTCGACGATGGGGTCGCTCGGCGTGATGGAGATAATAATGCATTCAACGTCTCTACCTCAAACAGATTGATCGATAAAATATTACTGAATCTTCCTGAATTATTTAAGAAGCGTTAGATCATCAATTCACCCATCAATTCAATGGTTCTGTAATATTTATGATTTTTCTTATAATATTTCTCATATTGAAACAGTAGGTATATAGGTATTTATCTCTAATCTGAATATAATCCTATTCTTCAAGCTATTAAACAAAGCATGCATTTAACTTACAAGTTATTTATGTAATTAGGAAATAATTAAACTGAATCTTTTATAATCCGATTTCACGATGTGAAAATGCCGTTTATGATGATAACTTATTAGTTTTGGCATTGAAAAGCACTGAAAACACGGCATAATTGGACTTCCCTTAATTTCCGCCGCCGTAAATACACCCGTTAATGGCTCGACGTTAAAGCTGACAACTCGGACGCGTAGTTCGACAGGTAATACCGGAAATGGGAAACGCTTCCATCGATTTGAATACATTCGAATACGTTCTCTATCCTGCACAATAACAATTCATGGTAACGCATTTAAACAGCAAAACAACAAGCACTAAACCACACAAACAAACATTGGGACGTTATTACACACAAACCAACATTACTAACATTGAAATATTCACGTAGGTGGGTAGTAACAAATATGTATTCAAATAGTAATATATTTTGGCAAACATGCGTGGGTGATTAAACTTACATTAAACTAGTTTTGTGTTTAAATACAACATAATGTTTATATATTTAGAGATATTATTCACAATATTTAACTTTAAGTTGAAGTCGTTCACTTTTAAGTAACTAGAGGACGCTAAGGGTATGAACGTTTTTATAAATATAAGAAACTATCATTTGGTCGCCACTTCATCTCTGTTGTTTTTAGTAAAAATGAAATTAATTTTTACATTTTTCATTTTACATTCTTCAATTAAATTCGCAATTTTATTTTAAAGAAATGAGAATTGCTAATAATGTACTGAAAAGTAATCGAGGATTCAATTATTTAACTATAACTATGAAAGAATTACTATACCTATTTTCACCTCTAATTCAATACATTTTCAGTAATAATTTGTGTTATTTTGATACTTATTTTACTATTCGGAATGAAGATGAATTTAACAAATCATAAATCAACAAAATCTGTCCAGCCGTTCTTAAGTTATAAATGTTGAAACTAACACAACTATGTTCCATATACCTAGAATGTCTGTTTTCTATTCTCGGTAAAACTATTGTAAAACAATAAAGTAAAACAATAT